AACAAAGCGATACGCTACAATCTGTACAGCACAAAAGTTGCAGCAACATTGCTACACCGTTGCTGCAACTTTTATGCTATATAGGAAGAGATACTACGATATGGCTTTGTTCTTGCTTTCTCGGTTTAAAAAGATGAATTTCCTGCATAAAATAGTGACGGAAAATAAACAGTGGGTGTTTATAAGAATCCAAAAAAATGAAAATCATGAGTGAATCTAGGTGAATCTTCGACATCGATCGCAAAACACAATATTTATGCCAGAAAAATCTGTTTGTGCATTTGATGGAACTTCAAGGGTGTAATAGATTTTGAACTGTTTAACACGTTGACTGTTACGGAATTTTTCACGATTCCGGTCTAAAGAGCCAATTTGATTTAATCATGTTATATTATTAAAAACTTTAATAATAGTACATAGTAATAATCAAAAAGCTTAAAAAATGTTTTTTTTTTAAACATTTTTTATTCTCTTTCCTGAGGCCATCTATTCATATTTACATTGTTATGCTACGAGTTTCCTCGTAACTGTACAAATATGGCAGTTATGAAGGGACGAGATAACTCGTAGTAGGCGTCCTGGGCGAGTAAACAACTTACGAGATATCTCGTAGTTGGCAGTCAACATGTTAAATCGGATGAAACTATCATCGTTGAACTTCAGTATGTGAGTAATAAATTGTATGTAAAATTGGATGTATTAGACCTTTTATTGGCAAGGGGTCTAGACCGATAATATTGCTTCACAACTACGCAAGACTTCACACGACGAAAGCGACTAAGGATACCCTTAATTTTTTGGACTGGGAGATGTTGTCACATCCGGCATTTTTACCAGATTTAATTCCGACAGATTTTCATTTATTCCGGTCCTTTCAACACCATTTTCCGGACTCGTGCTCCAAAACATAGAAGAGGTCGAAAATTGCCTTAAAGACTTCATCGACTCGAAACCGTTGTCTTCTTATCAAATGGGAATGGAGGGCCTGTTCCTTGAAAGGTGGAAGAAATGTGTCAATATTAATGGAGATTACTTTCCTGACTAAAGCATAATCTGATTCTATGTAAATTTTAATTTTCACTAAAAAAGATCGAGAATTAATTTTTTATACTTAATATGTATTTCGATCTAAACATTTATTTTTTTTAATAATATTATAGGTATTATACATACTATATGCTTATAAAAAATAAAAAAATTTATTGATATACCGAAAATGATTCAAAAATTCAATGATTGTCGAGACGTAACGTGCCTTTTAGGAAGCGTCACAGATGTATACATAATAAAACGGACACAGCAGGTTGAATGAATCGAGCACAGTGACAAACGGACACAATAAGAAATGGACAAAGTAAGAAACGGACACAGTAAGAATATTCAACAATATATAAAAATATAATAAGTTAGGTTAGGTTAGGATTTTCTTGGAGAGAGGATGCGGGGGAGGGACGAAATACCTCCGCCGTTTATATGTACTGTGTTCCAAAGGGGAGCGTCCCAGATCAGACACAGAATCAGACAGACACAGCAGGTTAAATGAATCGGACACAGTGACAAACGGACACAGTAAAATACGAATATGTCCAATTGCAACTACTGTCTGTTCCTTTCCTATTGTGTCCGTTTCTTACTGTGACTATTGTGTTTTAATCTGACGACATTATTTCATATATATAAAATTAATATTATCGGCATGTGACATCAGCTATTGCAATACTTAAAACCCCATTCCATTTTCTCTGTTCACAGTGCATCGTTAGCACATTCGTGAAAACAGAATGCTTGTATCAGTGCAATGACGTCACGTTTGCAGAATTGGCAGTGAATTATGAAACACAGCCTATGTCTATGTCTATGGCAACTGCTTCTCTTATTCCCCTTCTCTTATGTGTATAAAAGAGAATGCATAGATACAAAATAGAGTGTACTCTTTTCTACGTGAGCTTTACTCTCATTTCTCGAACATGCGGTCTAGGTATATTATGAGCCAGCCGGTTGTTTCAACTTCTTGGTAAGTTAACTGATAGTTAAATCACATGTTTATCTTTATTTTTTTTTATTTAGACAAAGATAGACATATGACTTAGTGTCAATTAGTGTCGATTAACTTATCAAGGGAATTGGAACAACTTGCCCTATGTCCATACTTTTAATCCATCTGGGGTCGATTAAACCCAGGTTCTTGGGTCGAACATCGAACACGGGTAAGCTTTGTGATTGGCTAATAGAGTTTTGTGACGTCATTAACTCCAAGTCAATTAATCCAATTCCACTTGAGTACGATAATATTAACTATAGACCATACATGTCTTCTTATACAGACTGAAGATCATGTAGAAAAGGACAGGAACCCAGGCAGAATAGAAAATCATGATGACATTAAAATGACATCAAAATAACGAGAAAATGACTGAATCATGATGAATAAATGAGTTTTCCTCATTATTTTGATGTTATCATGATTTTCTGTTCTGCTTGGAAAGCAGATGCCATATAGTTTTTTTATTCGCGCATGCGCAGTGAAATATATATATATAATATGTAACATACATGTGATGTTAGGTTATTTAAAATATTTTAGAATATTTAAAATTATTAATTTTTTTCTATGAAATTATGAGTAACCTTATTCAGTCCTACTCAACTGTCTTTCTATTCTTTTTCATATTCCACTTTCTTCCTGTTTCTTTCTTGTCAGACAGAGAAAAATACATGACACCTTTTGTCCATCTCTTTCTATCTGATCTTCAGGTTTCGAACCTCATACTTAGTTCATTTCAAAGCTCAGCAAAATCTACATACTTCACCTGATTTTCAGCTCGTTCCGTTTCGCATCTTATGGGCCGCACGCGGGAGAAGATGTAAGAGGGATAGCGTTAAGCGGGAAGAGATGAAAATCGGCCAAAGTGTGCAGATTTTGCCAAGCTATTCTTATTTGGTGGTTCCATAGGCATAACATACCTAGATTGCGCGTTTCCCCACATTTCAGTCGGAATAGAGCTCACGTATATAAGAATGCACTGTTTTATGTTTGCGCGTTCTCTCTTGCACACGCAATAAGAGGAGGTAATTGCGATATACTATGGCAACTGTCTCCTCTTATTCTTCTTCCATCGCCTATGTGAGAGAGAACGTATAGACACAAAATAGAATGTATCCTTTTACGTGAACACTACCTCTATTCTTGAAATTTTAGAGAATGCGCAGTCTGGATTATTATATTTATGGTTTTGTGTTTATGCATTTTTTCTCGCACAGACGATAGAAGGAGAGTAAGGGAAGACTATAGATATAGTATATCGCAACTGATTCCTTTTATTCTTTATCTCTCGCGTATGCGAGAGAACGCGCAGACACAAAATAGAGTACATCCTTCTTTACGTAAGCTCTATCTTCACTTTTCGAACACATAGATATACTATATGTATATATATATGTGTGTCTATTCTTACTATATCTATGTTTATAGCTATATTAAAAAGCTCACGGTCATACCCTCTCCACATTATAAAACGATCAGACAGACAGTGGTAACTGAATACGTATCGTGCTCTTTGTAACGCAGACTACTATAGCTAAAAACATTCGTCTCGGTATGTACGAAGCCTGCGCATTGCGTCGTAAGAAGCGGTATAACCATAGACTTCTATGTACTGACTAGACTACTGACTATAAACGATAAGATGGTGGTGAGAAGTAGGTGCCACATGTATATTGTGTACGTATTATCTTCGTATATACCACATGATCAATTCATAACTTTAATCAGAGGGGGGGGGATAGAGAGGGGAGAGAGAAAGAGAGAGAGAGAGAGAGAGAGAGAGAGAGAGAGAGAGAGAGAGAGAGAGAGAGAGAAATAATGTATAAAAGAAATATTTATATTTCATTTTCTTTTTTTATGTATCTTGAATATTTATTGTCTATCGACACGTATATTATTCGTAATTAATAGTTGTATTTTTAAATTTTTAATGATGTACATTATAAATTTTAATATTGATGTTAGCAGTGATTTATGTATGAGTAAATTCAAAATGATATGACATTTTAAATTCATTCTATTTGAGACATATGGAAAGTCAGCAATTTCGTTAAGTATATAAAAACCTATAGGTATTGCATCATACAAGATAATGACTATGTTCAATACAATTCACCTATAGAGGTTTCTCTTTGAAAAAACTTATTTGCATAGAAAATATTTATAAAATATAATATCTGAGGATAAATAGTATATTGATTCATATAATCGCTATAGAGGAAGATAGAACGGTTCCTGTTTTACCATCTCGCTAATACATTTTTGGTCGCTCGAAGACAAAGGTGTTGTCATTCCAATATGATTATAATTTAATGGACAATGATGATAGTAAAAACGAAAGCACAATATATATACACAATTCTATTAAATAAGGATTTTAATTCTAAAAACGACAAATTTTATGAAATTATTAATCATTTCTAGAATGATTCAAACCTTCAGTCGGAAAAGTTGTAACCTAGCTTTTCATTTCTGGTTTTGTACGCATGATCAGCAGTGCACAAAACTATGTAGGTGTAGTAGTGAAAATTATGACGAAGGGGGGGGTTTCACACAGGATGTAATGTAAATGCAACGTTGCCACATCGGGCGAAACTATAAATAGGTTCTGACAAAAAGGCACGACCAGTTGACTATCGTCTTTGGTAAGAAGAACTTGGTGAGCTATCCTGTTATATTATCTTCCTTTTTTCTTAAGGTAATATTCTTTATATACTTATTATTATTTCTTATTATTATCTGAACATTCCGATGTTGCAATATTATTTGATCTTATATGTACGTAATGAGAAATATATTATTATAATGTGATGAGGACTCAGAATAATAATACAAATATATAAAGCTAGACTTTAAAACATTGCGGTATACATATCGAGTTTTTCAATCTTTATCTAAACTATGAGTGGATATGTACTGAAAACATAGGACTATCCCCCCACATAGTCGCACGAGCACATTCCGATCGCAGCTTGGGCACACGTAACGGCCCGCGTAGTGCGCATGCTGTTAATATCGCCGCCATCTTGTGCAACGGCTTTTATTTGGCGACTGTGCTTCGTGTTGAGCGCGGTGTACTTACGTTCTCAAGTTAATTGTGAATTGCGCACTTGGTGACTCAGTTAACCTATGTTTTGTGTTCATATTGACAAAGCAACGCTATACCATCATACCGCTTAAAAAGCTTAACTATAGTGCAATTAGTGATTTTAAAACAACGTGGGTGTGATATTCTTTCTTTCAATGTTTTTTACACGTTTACGTTCAGGTATGATGTTGCAAAGTTTTGTTATTCTGATATGAGGTTAATATGTCAGTATATTATATTCTATGTTGCATACTTAGAGATACTTGATAACAGAGATATGGTTCTCTTTACTCTAAACATAATCTTAAATATTGGTGGAAACATTGCATCATAATAAAACTTACACCCATCTTATTGAGATTTGATATATTATCAATATCTATTTACAACATGTATATGTACCAAAATTGCTTCTCTTCATACATTTTATCTGTATATTGTGTATTATCTGAATGTTACATCTGTATATTTCTTTGCATTTATATCAACGTAGACAGTTGTCATTGTGAAATGACAAACATTTCTATAAAATTAATTCATAGCTAATATATATGTTAACATATATGTGTTTGACAAGTTTTAGAAAAATGCTTTATTGTTTAATATTATAGGATCAGTAAGGATACTACAAGTAACATGGCTCGAGTTGTAATATATGAGAGACCTGTAGATGCCATCCATACGAAGACCCATATAGGTCAAATAGTAAGTACTTTCATATATATACAAATATTTTTTATAGTTATATTCAATAGTATATACTGTTTAAATTGTTATTTATATTTTATGTTGAGCATCTTAATAGATTTACTAGCGAGTCATATGTAAGAATATATAGAGCTTAGGACCGGTTATTCCAATCTCTTGGTAAGTTAATTGATAGTTAAATTGTATGTTTATCTTTGTTTTTCCTTTGATTTAATCATAGACATATGATTTAACTATCAATTAACTTACCAAGGAATTGGAACAACCTGTCCTTAAATATTATCTGTTCCTTATTCAATCACTTAAAATAATCATGAGATATATTATATAAAAGGAAAAAAGAGAATTTATTCCAGATTTTATGTCTAACAGGATTAGTAATTTGTATTTCTTTTAAGTTATATTATTAACTGCAGAGATCAGATAAAACAAAAGTAATAAGGTAATATTATTTAATAGGCTTTACATATAGCATATTTCAAGTATATAAGGAATGATGATATTGCATATGTATATGTGTGTATGATATGTTATGTATGAAAGCCTGCAAATGACATTCGTTAGTGGTACATCTGTATAAGTCGGTATAGCAGAAAACTAAGTTTCATAGTTGATCGTAGATTCCTACTTTATCATCGTCATATCAATATGGTTTTCATCCAGTTAAGACCTGGAATACAATACGTCGTATGTTGGAGTCGGATGTCGCAACTCAGTTGATGGTCCAATAAGAGAGTTTGTTTTCCGGTAGTGCGTTTTTCTCATTGAACTATGAATTGCGTTCCGACATCTGACTCCGACATACGACGTATTGTGTTCCAGGCCTAAGGGTGCGTTCCGTTTCACGCATATGCGCGCATTTTTTATAGTATACGTGACATAAACTATAGATAAATGCGCGCAAATGCGTGAAAAGAACGCACCCTAAGTAGCTTCTCCCGCCTCTTTTTAATGTTTGTGTACTTAATACTTATCCACATTAAATTTACAATTCAGAATTAAATAATATTTTTGTATATTTCTATATTGTAGTCATTACCTGCAATGTGATCAAAAATTTGCCAAGAGCTTTATTTTGACTTGCAATTAAAAATAATAGTTTAAAACTATGAAATTATATATTGTTCTGACGTAAGTAAAATCTTAAAATTTTTCAGGAAAAAAATTAATCTACAATACAATTTCTACGTGTAAGCAGGTTAAAAGCATCATTTCTTTCTTGTTTATTTTTTCTGTTTCTCTTTGTTGTTTTTTCTTGTTTTTTATTTCTTTTTATTAAAGTTGCCAGACTTGTAAAGGTCATCAAACACTTTCCATAAGACGGTGACAGTAAAGTTCGACCAATCATGTTCATAAGATGTGACAGTAAAGTTCGGACAATCGATTCGATTGTCCATAACCGTAACCGTTTGAAACGAGCAACGCGATTGAAACTTTACTATTACGCATTACGGGAAGTATATGTGATGGTTTTAAGTTGGTAGGGAAGATAGAGAAGGCCGAAAATTTTTATGAGCAAATAAAAGTTTGTCCGGCAGAATATGTCTGTCGTCTTTCCAAACGTTAATTTTCAACTGCATATATAGGGTGTACATAAGTAAGTAATACTTTACCGCACGATTTAACATTATTGACAGCACTGTAGTTAATTGAATCACGTATAGATATTACAATTTGATAATTTTGAAATTTCCAAAAATCGATAAATTAACAAAAGTTAGGGCACTATTGTAACAATATATTCTTGAGATCAAATAGAGTAAGAAAGTCTAGTATTATTTTTTCTTTCGACAAATAGTTAGCGAGATATCATAAATTAAATATTAAAAAAATTACCAAGTTTCCCATAAACATCTTAAAAAATATTAGGCAATAAAGAAATGTTTCAAACAAAAGTTGTTAAAGTTAATTAGTAAGAAAATATATAATAAAAAATTAGAGTTTTTGTTTAAGAAAAGTAATGATCAATGAATATCTCGAAAGTGGCGCCATCTGTAAACAAAATGGTATAGTTGTTATATGTCCCCTTTGAAACTATACAACTTTTGTCTGAAACATTCTTCCATATTTAAAGCCGTTTGCGAAATCCAGGAGTGAAATCAGATTTTAGAGATGTCCTATATATTTCATACATGTATTTCACATGTATATATTCATAAATTTCACTGATGAAAATATTACTAGATAATGATTATGCTAAGTCACTATGATAGTACATCTGCAAGTAGTACATAAGCAGAAATAAAACTTCAATGCGGTAAGGAAGGATAATGTCTTTGGCAGGGCATAATAATTTTGATAAATTTTTGCTAGAAAGGACAATCTTTCCCGGAAAAGAAAATCTGGCAACCTTAATCTTTGCTTTAGAAAAACCCTAACCTAACCGAACTTAGGCTGGCTCCATCTATGGGATGTCCAATTTTAACTTATGGCATATTCGAGCGAATGGGTTTTAACCATAGACTTATACAGATAGACTATGCGTCCCATGAGAGAACTTGAAGACAATATTAAAATGAGAGGAGCGATAGCTGAGTATGTCTCTGTTTAACATGTGTCTTGGTGTGGAAGTCGAAGAGGAGAATAAGAGGACAGTTGTACAAAGGTTATGGTTCGCAAATTAATTGTCCTTGCTAGATTTAAACTCTGGTTGCTTTAATCACTGTTACGACTTATCCAAAAAATAGAATAGGACAGAAAAACGCTTCGAAACATTCGTAACGGTTGCTGGACCGCACTCGACATTATCTTTCTCCTTGTGTCGTTTTCTTCCCTCTCTTGATACAGACCGAGAGAGAGAGAGAGCCTCACACATGCAATAGCTCTATTCTCTAATGTAGTTTTCAGTGCAGCGTAAGGATGCGCAGTCTATCTATATAAGTCTATGGTTTTAACCCAGGGTCGATTAATGATATCACAAGCCTCTACTAATCAATCACAAAGTTTACCTGTACATGTTCGACTCAAGATCTTGAATTAATCGATCCTGAGTTAAAGTCCGTTCATTCGAATACGCCATTAGACATCGAAATATCTTGAAAACGATATATTTTTGAAAAAAAGAAAATTAAAATGAAAAAAAGAAAAATAAAATGTTTTAAATAAAAGTTGTGGAATTTGAAGGGTTATTAGATGAGTTTAGATTTTGGGCCTAGAAGACCCACGTTGATTTTCTTTTTATAGGAACTGCTATTTTTTATTGCAAATTCATATTCTATGAGAAACAGAAAATTTTATCGCTGGTAATTTTTTGCTGAACCTCTAATAGGTGCAAAATACTCCTCAAAATTCTTATTATAAAACATATTCCGGTTAATGAAGACAAAACCAGCGGACAATATGTCTTTGGAGGATCTTTCAAAAGATAAGTTTATTGTTTCACTGTTAATAGCACTTATTGTTAATATGTACATTTTATTCATATATTATTATAGGACACATATGCGAATAATTGTGCTCGAATGTTCATGTAAGATGGCGCGTATTTTCGTTTAAACTGTTTATTATGTGTTATTTTTTCAACATTAATAGACTGTCTCACAACAATATATCTTATATTTTTTGAATCATTTCTTGATTTATTGTTGACATCTTTGAACGTCCAGAGCGAGGTATAGACTTGGCAGTTTATCTTATCTTATTTAAATTGAATAGCCCAGTTTTTTTATTGTTAATAATGAAAGAGCAAATTCGTTAAAATTATTTCGTTTACTTAACGGCCTGTAGACACTAAATTATTTTAGAGATTAGTCTGAGGTTATACTATGCATATTAAAGTATAACTATGCATATTAAAAACCAAAATATTAATATATTCATAATCTCTATATTTTCGACTTTCTTAAACCTTTTTAAACATTTTTCTTTGTTTAAATTGGACAACACAACTTTCTATTATTAAAATAAAGATGTAAATTATAAAAATTGCTTTTAAAATTAAAAGTTATAAAAATATCTTTATATTTATTTGAATTTGGAAAAATACTTTTTGTTATAAGTCTAGAAGCATCAAATTTATAAACATGAGGAATATTACTCGTAAATAAACTTATGAAATTCATTAAGTACGTTTACTTAGAAAATTATATAAACGTTTTATTAATTGTATTAAATATGTAACATAAAAATAAAATTTAATGGTTTGTTGTATGATAAATCTAAAGACATTTATATTTACATAGAGATACATAACTGTTTGATTTTCAAGTTAAAAACAATTTTATCTTTGAATCTTATTTTGATTAATTTAAAATGAAAATATGGAAGGATGTAATAATATATTGGCATCCAGTTATTAAATATAATATTAAGTCAACGAAATGTAAATGCATTTCAGAAATAATAGAGAATGAAGTTTGAATGTTATCTCTGTATAAGGCCGAGAACTTATTATTTAACATTCGTATACGTATACGTATAAAAGTCGAATTTATCGGAATTGTTTTTCGATGTGATCTTGTATAAATTTACCAAAACTTTACTTTTTTTATCTTTTGCTGCTTACATATATTAAACTACGAAAATTACGATAAATAATGATAAGTTGCAAAATTCACAAGATTTTAGTGATTTATTCCAAAGACGACATAGTTTCTACAGCTTTAAATTATTATTTTTTAATCATTTCTTTTAATTAGTTAATTTTTTGTGTTTCTTCACTCACTTCTGTCTTTTCCTTTCTTTTTTCTCACTTCTAATTGATCAAACACTATTCTGGTCACTACCATTACTCATCTATATTAATATTTATCAAAAGATATCTCAATCAGTTACCATTCTCTTCGATAAAGAAAATGAAAATATTCACAAAATTAGAAACAATTTTACAGAAAAACGTAGCTTTCTCAAAACAACAAATCTAATATTTTTTTGCATCCTGAAATAGTCAAATATCAAATTATTATTATTTTTAAACATAACGCGAAATAAAACCTTTTGCAGATTTTCAGTTATTTACAGCTGACGTCTTTTTAACATAGAAATTTATTAAAAATTCT